TATTTTGAGATAAGGTCTTCCTAAGTTACTGTGGGCCTTGCTAAATTACCCAGGCTGGCCTCAGACTTGTGATCCTCAGCCTCCCCAGTCCCTGGGATCACAGGCATGTGCCACAGAACCCAGCTCTTCATGACTTCTGAAATCCTGGTCCCATGACTCACCTGGTCTCCTCTTAAGGCCATGGCCAGCTCCAGCCCCAGGCTCTCTCCTCAGTGCCCCAGCTTCATGCCCTCCAAAAGCACAGGTGCCTGGGCTCAATTTCTTCTTTGTGCCAAAGGTCAGTCATCACCAAAGCAGAAAATGCAAGAAAGCTACAGACCTCAGAAGGTCCCATATCCACAATTATAGTGTATTTTGTGGCTCAAATGGTCAGACACCCGACCTGCCCTCCCTTTATCTCAACACTTCTCAGAAGTCAGTGTTCCAAAATTTACTTGGTCCTCAAGGAAGCCCACAAATGCCAAAGAATCTAATGGCATCACAGGGGATCGGGGTTCAGACCCCATGTTAGAGGAGGATCTGCGGTGGTCAGCACCCAGGCAAACCTCAGAAAGAAGCCCCCTCACTGATTACAGGCCTTGGAGAAGCCCTTCAGCTTCTCCGAGCTTCCGCGTTAGAGACTGAGTTGTGTCCCCACACTAACATGCTGAAGCCCTAACTCTTAGTATGGCTGTCTGTGGGAGATAGTTCTGTGTACAGATAAGAGGTCTGTGAGGACACAGGGAGAGAGGTCACATCAGGAACCAACCCCAGTGACCTGCAGAGATTCTAAGCCTCTCAGTCTGTGGCATTCTGTTGTGGAAGTTTGAGCTGATTAATACACCCAATCTCTTCTTTGAAAAGTATAGATGAAACTAGTGCCTGTGTCATGAGATTATTTTGAGAATCCAACAAGGAAATACAGACGTAATGCTGTTCATCTTTCTACAGCATCTTCACCTCCTGGAATAGTGCCTAGAGGTTCAATAAATACCCACTGAATAAACCCATCCATGAAAAGTGATGATGTCACACTGAATCTCAGGGCCTATTTCTGAGCTCCTCGCTAGCCTTCATCTCTCGGCTCATTGATCACCACTCGCCAGCCAAGGGCAGCAGGAGCCAGGCTCAGGGAAGTATGTGCAAGGGCCATCTTGTTCTTAATTGGAACTACCAGCTAAAGCATCATTCTCTGTGAGGCTGGAGATGGTGCTGTGTGAATTGGCTCTCCCTGGCACCCTTGAGGCCCTGGGTTAGATTCCCAGCACTGGCTGAAAACCAAGCAAAACAGGGGGATGAGAAGAAGAGCAAGAGGAAGAGGAGGCATGGACATGGATCAGAGCCCAAGGAAGGCTGCCTTCCCTGGTCCCACTTGGTCTGCTCCTAGGGGCAGAGAGACTGGAGACCACAACTGTGGGGGAGGAGAGCTGGGACTGGGAGTGGGCCCTGGGAGTGTCCTGGGTGAAGTCCACTAGAGTTGTAGGCCACAGCTGGCCCACCTTCCCAGTGCTTAGGAGATGCAAATAATGGGAACAATAGGCCCCTGTTCCCAGGCCACCAGTCGCAGATCCTGGGTTCCAGGGAGGTAGAGGTCCTGTACACTGCCATGGTGAGAGTTGGTGGTCCCAGGGTAGCCTCAGCACACAAGCCTGTCCGTGCTAGGGGCCAGGGCACGAGAGGCACTTGCTAGGCTGACTACCCGGCCCCTTCCCTCTGGCTCTTTCCAGGAGGAGCGTAGGAGCAGCAGCAGCAGGCCCCAGTGAGTACCAGGGAGGGCTCTCCATTCCCTTGCTTCCACTTTGCCCTACCCTCTGCAAAGCACCTGCCCCAGGGGCAGTGCTGGGTCTACCCCACTCCAAGGACCCTACCTGTACTCCCACCCTCTGTCACCCCACTCCAAGGACCCTGCCTGTACTCCTACCCTCTGTCACCCGCGGGCCAACTCATCTACCTTTTCACCCTGAGGGCACTGGCTCTGTCCCCAGCCTCCTGCTCTTGCTGCCCTAGTGCCAGGGGCATGGTGTCCTACAACTCTAGGGCACTCATACTGTGCAAGAATGTCCTAGAGTGCCAGGTCTAACTGACAGGAGCTCAGAAGCCCCCTGAGCAGAGTTGACTGCAGTCTGCTTGCAGGTTGGGGCCACCCCTTCCACCCCCCAGATGTGTGGGTAAGTGACGGGATCCCACAAGTAGGGTGTCCCCTAGGGCCCCCCGACACGCATCACTGGGATCCAGCTCTCCCACCTGTCTTGGCCAACATCTGCAGCACAAGGGCAGAGGACTAGCCCAAGTGGGACTGTGCCTGGGAGCCTTGTTTCCAAAATGCCCACCCATGGCCTTCAAAATGACCTCATGGCTCTGCCCTGCCATGGTGCTGTGTTCCTTTAGTTAAAAGGATGGAGAGGGGGTTACTAGAGGAGGGTGGACTGGGAGGAGGTGAGGCCTGTCTATCTGTTCAGATGTCTCAGCTTGGAGAGAAGATGTACTGGGCCCCTCTCCTCTGTCTGCCCCAGAGACCTGGAGACACAGGGTAAGTCCAGCTGCTGAGGCTGGGGTGGGGCAGGGGGCAGCAGGCAGAAGCTACTGGGGTCCTGGACCTACTCCATCCTTCCCTATCCAGCATCCCTTCCTAAAGGCCCGAGAAGAGGACGATGAGGAGGACAAGTATGAGCTGCCCCCCTGTGAAGCTCTGCCTCTCAATCTGGCCCCTGCGACCCGTCCTGGAGCGGAGGAGGACTCCCTGTACCTGGGTGAGGGCCGGCAAGTGGAGGCGGGAGGCGCCCACAAGGGAAGACCCTGAGTCCTTGCCTCTTCTCCCGGCCTGCGCAGGCATGGAGGGGAGCCGCCCTGGCTGCGGGGCCTCCGGGCCAGGCGCAGGGGCTGGAGAAACGGAGCGGAGAGGCGGGAGGGAGAGAGCGAGCGCGTGACCGAGGCGGCCGCAGGAGGCTGGGACCCTGGCCGCGCCTTGGGGGCCGGGTGCCCTCCAGCCCGCAGTGCACCCTGCGCTGGCCTCCCACTGCGGGCTTCAGCGGCGGGCCAGGGAAGCTGGCCTTCTGGTTGCCATGGCGACGGGGATGCGCGCAGCCAATGAGGGAGGGGAGCGGGCGGGGGCGGGGGAGAACCGAGGCCCGGGGGCCGGCGGAGGAAGCCCGCCCACGAGCGGGGGGTCTTTTACAGATCGCCCCGGCCCTGGGGGCCCTTCCAAGCCAGCGCCCCGGCCTCGGCCTTCCCCGGCGAGCGGCCTTCTCGCAAACGCCTCTTTCCCCGCGCGCGCCTCCCCAGGCCCGCGTGTCCCCGTGAGTATGCGCGGCACCTCGTTGGCAGGCTCGCCCACATTTGCACTAGAGGCCTCTGAAATGTAGGGGCCAAGCTCAGAAGACAGAGCCCATAACCTGGGTCGCCGTCGTCCCGCCCCTGGTCCCTTCCTGTGCCCATCGCTTCAGCAGGACACCCGCTCCTGCTCCCACAGCTTGCCCAAGCTGGGACAGCTGGGACAGGAGCCAGCTCCGTGACCCTCCTGGACCCTGGGCCTGAGAACCCTGCTCAGGGAGTGAATCAGCACTCTCTCAGCTGCTGGTCACTGCCAGCCCCCACTCCGAATTCCATCTGGGTTATGGATTTGAAAGCTACCACTTTCATTCTGTATGTAAAAATGGAATAAAAACCAGGGAGGGAGTGGCCACAGAGGAGAGCAGAGCCAAGTGTGGTCCCTTTTCTTCTTGTGTCTGGTGGCGGTTTTTAAGGCTGCAGGGATGTTACACTGGCCATCCAGGCAGTCCATCCCTGCCTGCCCATGCCTCAGTCCCTCCTCCCTCCTCCCTCACGAGCCCCATTGTGCCCACAGCTGAAGGCAGCAGCGAACCTGCAGGTGGCATCAAAGCAGGCACCTGACTTTGGGAGTCGAGGTAAGGGGAGTCCTCTCTTTCCTGGCTGCATCCTGGGAGGGGAGTCCTCGACCCCCACGGAGTAGAATTGAGCTGGCTCATCACCTTCTCAGCTGCCCCTCCTTTCTACCTGCCAATCCCCAGAAGTAGGGAGTCTAGGTAGGCAGTGAGCAAATGGCCTAGACTCCAGCCCTGTCTGCACCTGGAGTAATCTCTGAGTCAGTTGAGGGACACCCCACAATGAAGTGGTCAGTCTTGAGGGCCTTCTACTGAGACATCTGAGCCAGTCCCTATTAAGGGCATTCTGGTTCTGCCTATAACCCTTGCCACCGCTGTCCACAGACTAGCCCTTATGGTCCATTGCCCTGAGGTCTGTTGACCCAGAACCCTGGGAGGTCAGGATAGGGAGGGACCTGGGGAAAGAAGAGGCCTTGCAGGGTGACCTTCTCCTGCTCAAGGCCAGCACATTCCCTTCTACTGTGCTCACTGGTTGCTAAACCCTCCAGACCTTGAGAGTGGCTTTGCTTTTTGGACCAGCCCAAAGTCATCTGGAGCCATGCCTGGCAAATGGGTGGGGAGGGCAAGCTGGACACCCACAGGGTTGGGTAGAGCATGGCTTTCCCTGGGGCTTTGAAGCTGGCTCTGAAGACCCTCTGCAGAGACCTCCCAGGGTTCTCACCCTCTCCCTGCTGGTTCTCTCTTTTTCCATGCAGAGTGGGGTGCACCCGCCAGAGTGGTAAGCTGCCCCATCCCCACCTCCATTCTAGGGTTCTGGCTGGAAAGCCACTTGGGTGGGTGGGCCTTGGAGGGCCAGGAAAGATCCCTGAAACTAGGGGAAAGGCCCAGTGCCTCAGGCCCTTGGCAGGTGTGGGATTGCTGTCCTGAGGGCCTCCCAGCACCTGCACTTCCTGTGCTGTCTCTGAAGGGGAGGGGCTTACAGGATGCCCCTCCCAGGCAGAGGAGCACTTTTGACCACTTAAGCTGATTTCTAGAAAGGGCCACTGGTGAGAAAAGAGTGAGGTGCCCGAGCCTCCCCCATTACTGCCTCCTTCCTGCCCCGCCCCACTGCTTAGGTCAGAGGCCCCCTCCTCCTAAAGTGAACCCCCAGGGCTGGCCACCTACACCCCTCCCTACCCTAGGTGCCAAGCCCTGTGAAGAAACCTGAGGAGGACATCTACCTGGAGTGTGAGCCTGACCCAGGTGCTGCTCGGTTCCCCCCAGACCATCTAGTCCTACTGCATCCAGCTGTCCCCAGCAGGCTCCCTCTCCTGCCCCATCTTCTCCCCACCCCCCTACACACAGTTACCCTCAGACACCACAAATCTCTTTGCTTCATGGCCCAGGCTGACCCACCCTGTTTCTACAATGAGGTGACCCCACCCGATAGAGCAAGGTCTGGGTGGATCTCTCAACCCTGCAGCCAGGCAAGCCTTGCCCTCAGGTTGGAAGGAGTTCCAGAAAGCCCCACTGCAGAGAAGCCGAAGGCCCTGCTCCTCCCTGACCCACTGCTTGGATTTCCTGGGCTGCTGTCCATCCAAGCCCAGCCTGCCCTCTCTGTTTCAGTTCCGGCCTTGACTCGGACTCTGAGCTCTCAAGTCCTGCTGCCCCCAGTCCCTCTGCCAGTGACACCTGTGGTGCCCAGGTGAGTGCCCCACCAGATACACAGGCACATGCCTGAGAGCGAGCAAGGGGGCACCAATTCAAGCTCCCCCAGCCCTGATGCAGTGTCCTGGGGTTGCTGGCAGGGGTGACAGGAGCAGTTGGGAGGCTGGGTTTACTGGGGTGCTACTCATGACATGATAAAGACCTGAGTTCTGTCCCCAACCTGCTCCCTGCAGGCCTACCATAACCCCCCAGGAATCTCGGAAGGTAGGAGGCTAGTGGTCAAGGGGGGTGTGAGTGTTGGGAGGGAGGAGCAGGAAGACTTCAGGAGAGGGGCATGCTAACCAGACCTCTGCTGTCCCAGGGAGCAGCAGATGCCACCTCCAAAGGTGAGTACATCATGTTGGGGCACAAACCAGCAGACCCCAAGGCCCCAGGCTCTGTAGGCCCAGACTCCCTCCCACCCCTGGAGACTCATTCCCACTTCTAAGACTTCCCCAGCCATGAAGACCCCACTTTGCTGAGATTAGGCCTGAGCGGACCCTCTTGGGCATTTTCCAGGATCTGCGCCAAGTGGGGAAGCCAAGATTCCTCCTCACTTGGGAGTTACACAAGGGCTGGCTGGTAGGTCCTAACAGGGCACAGACCTATCCACAGGGGAGCATGGGGTGCCCTGCGGTGGGCCTCAGGACTCCTCCCACTCCTGCTCCTGCCCTAACACCTGAAGTTGTGCCCAGAAGCTGCCTTTGCCCAACCCACTCCCAGCCCCAGCTCTATAGTGGCTTTTTCCGGCAGGAAGGAGATTGTCTCTTCCCTCCAGAGGGCCCCCCAGGAGCACCTCTGCTGCTCAGGTGAGAGGGGCTGGCAGCTGACTGTGGTGGAGGCCAGCAAGGAGCAGACCTCTCCCGGAGCCCTCCTGGGCAAGGCAGCTGCTCCACCAAGATCATTCACTGAGCACATGTGCAGTGCCCTGTGGGTGGGACAGTATTGAGCATGCGTATGGTGCCCAGCTGTGCAGCAGCAGGCACTGGCACTTGGCTCTGCATGTGGGGCTCAGTCTGGGGCTGAGACATGTCAGCCCCAGCATCCTCTGCACCCCCCATGCCATCCAGTGCCCACACGTCTCTGAGTGGCTATGTGTGTGCATGCAGGATGGCAGCCT